CCTGAAGTAAACAATGCCACAATAGGATCATCAAACTGAACTTCGTTTTGAGCTTTTTTAAGTTTCTCTAGGTCTTGGGACTGGCCACTTGTCATGAGGCCCTCGTAGGTAATAGATTGGTCGTCTCCACACTCCCCAGAAAAGGTACTCAAAGAAATAACAATCTGCTTGTCAATGTTGTTATCTATATTGTGCTGAGTCAGCAGGTTGATTCCTTCAAACAGCTGCTTCCTTTGTGATTCCTTCATTTCTGGATCGTAAGCAATCAATCTACAGTTAAGTGTCTTTAGAAGTCTTACTTTGTCAGGCGTTACATCTCCTGCACCCAGTAGAATGGCATTAGAACCGATGCGGTGCAGAGCCATCACAAACACAATGTAGCGCAGACTTGTTTGTCCTACTAACAACACGCGTTGCCCACGTGATAGACCAAGCTCAAGAAGGGATGCAGCAAGGTAGATGGATCTGCAAGAAAGAAAACACAAGGTCAAGGGTATATTGCAGACCACTGGGGATAAGATTTGTCAACCTCCACAAAATGAAATCTTGGATTTGATCTAGTCCAAAAATACGTATTCTAGATATTGAACACAATAAGCTCCAGAAAACAAAAAACATTGTTATCATGCACAAAAATGTTTTCCAAACCCCACATCGTTCATTCCCTGATTTTCTTATGGACTGGGACTTAGTCATGATAACAAGTGTAGCCTAAAGACTGACCAACCATGCAAGTTAGTTTTCCTATTTCAAAAAATGTTTTCGGATAAAATAGCGAATATCAATTGTGGAACGGCTATTACCTGATCGAAAGTAGCCATGGGTTTTGTTAACTGATGAAATATAACTACTGATTTATACTGTAAGAGAGTCTGTGGTGAGAATTGGTTTTATTTTGTTTCCATTTTAATGCAAGGTGAATTCAATAAGTAAAATTTTGTTGTCGAAACAGTGTAACCATAGTCCCTTGCAGTCGTGTATTAATCGCCGCTCTCCGTTCTCCCCGACAACGTTTATTGAAATAGCTGAATACATTCTTGCACTGTTATAAAAGATCTTGGCAATTAGTAACTTTGATAATGAAATAAAGGAATTGTGTTGCACTAGAAAACTCACCTGTCTCTGTATTCAGCGAACGTAATGGCCGATCGATTCATGTCCATATCACACATGATCACTGCTTCAGTGTCTGGATACTGTTCAGCCTTGGARTCAAGCAGTTGGTGCCACAGTCGACCATCCATGGGGGTCTTACGGGGTTTATGCTCATAGCTCATCCTGGACATCTTGTCAATGATACCTTCTTCCTCAGTTTATACAACACTATTTAGTGGTAAAAAGAACTGTTAGTTTGATACCTTTCGATATTTTGGTCTACAGATGGTAGGTATTTAAATATCATTTCCTGGATCGTACCCCATTGAAGCACACAGGTACTGGAAGATTTCAAGATAGCGCTGAGACTCTATTCATTAACTATGGGACGGAAACTATAATATTGAAATTGGCCAAATAGTATTGTCGGCATTCTGACTTGGAATACGCATCGTTCATGAATTCCGCATTCCAATTTTTTTTCGATGCATTTCATGAAAGACTTCGCAAATATTCCAGATTTCACCATAGTTGCTAGTGACTCGTTCAACATTATTACACGTACCCTGCTATGCAGGGGGTACGTGTAGTAAAATGCTGTCACTTTCTTGGTTTGTGTTTTTTCACAATGTCGAAAGTTTGGCTTCGGTACATCTTCGTAGCCAATCACATTGTGAATTATATATCCGGTAGACAATCACATTACGTTGTGTATTCCGAACGCTATAGCCTGTCGATAATCCCGTTCGCAACATTTCTAACTCGTTCTGCACAATGTTTTATCCGCCATTTTGATGAATATTGTCTCTACTAACGAATATGGAACAGAACATGAAGGTTTACGACCAAAATCTGGAACTCATTACTTGTCTGGGTGTTCGGACCAAGGGTATGTTGAATTGTGATGACGTGGAGATCTCACTACAGAGATCAACACGTGAAGCAACGACAGCGATATAGTGATTGGGTTCCAGTGATTGAATATCAATACAACTCTTTAGAAAATGCTTATTAATTCCATGGCTATTAAAACATCTGCAATAGATATGTCGAGTTTTAATGTAGATGTGCAAAAATATTGTGTTACTATCATATCAAAAGTTAACTAGACCCTGTATGCAGGGTTGACACGTACCCTTTGTTGTGCATGATGTTGCGAAATCATTAGTAAATGAGGCCTTAAACCTTACTGATACAGAATAAAGAAATGATTTGATCCTTCCAGCCTTGCCAAGATATATGTGATTTTTGCGATAAGCTTATATATTTGGTGGCTCTTAAAATTTCAGCTGTAACCGCCTTGGTGATTCTGCAGTATAATTTTAAGGTCAGATATACCCGGAGATATATAACTAGGCATGATTTGGTTACAACGTGACGCTTTATTACACGTACCCTGCTATGCAGGGGGTACGTGTAGTAAAATGCTGTCACTTTCTTGGTTTGTGTTTGTGTT